TTAATTCTTGCCTAGCAGCTCATTGGAAATTTGGATTTTCAGGCTCTGACCAAGGGGAAGAGATTGGCCCAAGACTAAAAGCCTGGCATAGTGTATTTTTCCAGGCATCCCACCCAAGACCCAATATCAGGGGTTCTTTGTGACCCTTATCATCATCGTTCCTCTTAAATCCTTAGGAATTCACATGTCAAATCTCCCATATAAGAGTTTTGCCCTTTTTCTTGGCTCAGTATCCTTTTAGGGAGTCATGGATGTCAAATTTTCTGCCTGTATTGTAATTCCAGGATTAATGTGAGTCAGTGCTTCCATGTGTGGATGGTCTGGGAAGGAGACTGTTCCTCAAGAGGGTGTTATCCTCATGCTTGAAGGAATTTGAAATCCTATCCTTACCTGGGGATAATACCTGGATCCTGCAAGTCCTTATTGGACTCTGAGAGAACACTTCACTTAATTAAAGGTGAATAAGGAAGCAGTCTGGTCACAGCTGCCTCATCACCTGCCTCACAGATTGGTTTGGATTGGGAGGGACCCTTAAGTTCGTCTCATTCCAGACCCCCCACTACGAACACTTTCCACCAGACCAGGTGCTCAGGGCAATTTCAAGGCATTTGATTTCCTGTTCCCTTAATTTTATTACTTACATTGCAGCTGCTGGGAGTAGAATCGTCTTTTAGAGGAAAATAGAAATCACAGCAGGTGTTTCTCTTTTGTCTGTGAATGGGAAGAGCAAGCAGAGTTTCCCCTCTTTTCTAGTTACAGGTTTCCCATCTCGGTTATGTGGGCATTGAGTTACAGGGGATTTGCTCTGCGAGTGCCCTTAAAATTTGGACAACACTCTTGCTTTTGGGAGGAACAGTTTTTAAGTGATTAAAAAGTGTTTGAAGCCAGGTTGGATGGAGCTGTGAGCAGCCTGGTCTAACAAAAAGTGTCCCTGCTCATGGCAGTGGGGTGGAATTTGATTATTTTTAAGGTCCCTTCCAGCCCAAATCATTCCATGATTCTGTAATTCTGTGAATACAAGTCAGAGGAGCAGAGAAGCACGAGAGAATAAATAAATAATCCCTGTGCTGTGATTTTCCTGCAGCAGAAGCGCTGGTGTGTAAGGAGCCATCCATTATGTGTTGAGTCCAGCGACCAATTCCCTTTCCAGAGCTCCAATCCAGGAGCGGTTTTTGAATTATAAAGTGATTTTTTTTCCTTCTGATGCATCTTTAAGTTGCTGCTGCTCGGCCAGGGTTGAGTAATGAAAAGAATTGATCACTTTGCCCTTCCTAATGGCCCTTTACATCTTTATTGGCATGTCCTGTGTGTCCCCCTGCACTTGTCTTTTCTCAGGGTGCAGGACTCTTCATCTTTCTTCATGTAGATCTTTATCTCCAAACCCATTCTTTTTGCTCTTTCCATTGCTTTCCTCTAAGTGCAATCCATTTATTCTGCTTCTTTTGCAAAAGAAAAAGACTCCCCATGCTTCCAACCACATAAAGGACAAAACCACAGATAGATTTTTTAATTCTAGTCAAATCCTTGCTGCCAGAACAGGGTCTGGTGTGTGCTTTCATAAGGCTGAGTGTTTCCCATGGTAGATCCCATGTTTTAGAGCACATTAGGAGTGGCTGAGGGAGCTGGGATGGTTTATCCTGGAGAAAAGGAGGATTGGGAGGACTTTATCACTCCCTGAAGGGAGGTTGGAGCCAGGTTGGGGTTGGTCTCCTGTCAAACAACAGAATGAAAGGAAATGGCCTGAGATTGCACCAGGGGAGATTCAGGTTGGATATTGGGGAAAATTTTTTCACTGAAAGGATGATCAAACATTGGCACAGGCTGTCCAGGGAAATGGTGGAGTCCCCATCCCTGGAAGGATTTAAAAGCTATGTAAATGTGGCACTTGGGGACATGGTTTAGTGCTGGGAAAAGATTTGGACTCGATCTTGGAGGTCTTTTTCCAACCGCAGATGGGATGCTGCTGTCACTTGTCCTGAGGGCTGTCATAAATGGGATAAATAAGAGGATCTGCTAGCTAATTCCTTTGTCCCAAGCAGTAAAAATAATGGATTTATTGATCATGGCTAATCCATGAAAAGCCATTAGGTGGGTCACAGTGTCGTTCTATAACCATTGATCATTTCACGTCACATCCAGTGATAAGCACCCTAAAATGATATTTCTTAGGTCCTATAAGTAATTCTGGGATCTTTTAAGGATTCCCTGTGCCTCCTGAAGAAAGGGACAGGTGGGAAGGTGATAGAAGTATGAGTCCTGCTATGAATTCAGCTCACGGCAAGTAGAATTAAGGGCAGTCTCACAGAAAACCCACTTGTCTTTCCGTGAGTTTTCACCTGAAATTTCTGTCCTTACCAGATTTCTTTAATGGAACTTTTAGTTTGGAGTTTAATATTTCGAAAATCTAAGCAGAGCCCTGCAAGTGAAATTAGAGTGAGTTCCATTTCCTGTGACCTGTTGCCACCTGCTGCCTGAGAATAAAGATGATGCATTTAAGTAGCAAGCAGAATTTCCATCAATTTTCTAAGGGATGAGTGCTGTTGAGAAGGCATCTGGAAGGTGAATCACAAAGAGAGCAGAACTCTGAGCTGGTGTAAGTCAGCACAACTTGAGAAAATCCTGATTTGATCCAGCTGAATATGCGGTCATCAGCTGATCTGGAAGGGCAGATGATGTTTTTATCATCTGGTTGGAAGGGCAGAGCAAATTGACTCGAACAATTCATTCTTAAAGCCAGTTTGAAGCCAGTGGATTCAAATCTGACCATTTGCTGAAGAGAAACATAATTTACATATAATTTACCTTCTCAGCAGCATCCCTTAAAACCACAAATCCACATCTAAGTCTGGCACCCAGATCCAGATCACTGTCATCATGCGTCTGCAGCTCTTTTCAGAAATGGAAAACCAACCCAGATTTGGATGTTTGGTTCAGACCTGGGTCAGGTCCATTGCCAGGTTTCCTGTTGCACATTGGTGGCAGTAACATCCGCAGAATGGGTGTACCAAGAGTGTTTTGGAAGACCGAATAGTTCCAGGAAGCAGAGTTGTCTCTTGCAGACTTTTTCCAGAAGCTTTTATTGAATTTTATGGTTCCTCCTTGCTGCTGTAATTATTTTGTCTACTCAGCCATGTTGTTTTGGCTGATCCTTGAATGGAAGACACATCTAGAGAGGTTCCTTATCTACCAAATCTTAGCTTTCCATTCAGCTTTTCTGCCTCTCAGACCTTTTCTTTCATGCACTTGCTGCTTAGCCAGATTTATAAAGGCACCACCACAAATGATAGCAGAGAGAGATTTCAGTGTAATGAGGCAGATTTCAGAGAATTGGAATAAGTAATTTCGCTTTCAGAGTTGTTAGGTTGAGGGCTGTCTACTGGTTTTCTTTGGTATTTTGTAATAATACTTCAAAATCATAGTTCATATTGAGCATTAAAGAATAGCATTTGCCATCCAAGATAAAATTACAAGGTATCAGATTATGTCATGGCCTTTACCTTGCACAGACGTCTCATAATGCTTGTTGTAATTAAGAAGAAAAATAATTCCATTTCCCTGCTCCTTTAGGTAAATTAAATTCCTTAATAATTCCACAATGGAACAGATCCGAGTGTGGGCAGGCTGTAGGAATATTTGCAAACAGGGTCTCATTCTGACTGTAAAAATAAACTGTCACTTCAGTATGTGGTCATTGCAGAACTGATGTATCAATCCTTGAAAAACCCTTAATGAAGCCAGGGCGTTCTATCTTGATGTCCAAACCTGTATCCAAGCTCCAGCTTTGTTCAGGTAAAACTCTCCCTGAGGTCTGTGAGGTAACCAGCAAGTAAACATAAAACCCTTGGTCATAGATCAGGAAATGGTGAGCAAGTCCAATGTAAGTACTGCAAAACGTGTTTCATGGTATCTGTCCTGTAATTTCTTGTCTTGCCTGTATTTGTTTGTATTTGGAGGTTTTCTTGTAGTTCCACTTGTTATTCGAGGCCTTCTCTGGTTTGTTAGGTAAAAACCCACAGAGAAACTCTTCTCTCACTTTCCCAAACAGATGGGATGAGTGACAGCTTAAAATCTCTCTAGCCAGCTGTTAAAATCGTTTTGGGATCTTTTTTTTTGGTTGGATAGATGGATGCCTAAAGAGTCCTTGGGAAAAGAGCTGCTTTCCCATTTGCAGGGCCATCATTCCCAGCTAAAGTGGAGATTCCTTCCTGGGGCAGCAGCACAGAAAACCTGTTTTGTCCGGCTTTCTGTCTTGTGGATGGAGATGTGGCTTGAATCTCAAATTAATGTCCACACAAGAATAAACTTACAAGAATTGTCAAACAAGGAACAAAAAGCTTTGTTCTGTTTTTTTCCCGAAGCATCGTCTTGGGGAGATCGCACAAAAAAGCTGAAAATTCTCTGACCACAGGGAAATGAGGCCAGGTTTTAGTTCTCAGTGTCGTGGAGGCCATCATGTGTAGATTAAAAGAGAAATACAAATATTTCAGTCTGCACATCAGCTCTGCCTGTCCGTTTGAGTCACTGGAAAGCGTGACACGTCCCAGTGTTGGTGTCTTCCATGTGCTGTGGAAGTCCAAGTGTCTGTGACCCGAGTGCCGACAGCCATCGTGACAGACCAGTCTCTGCTGCAACTGTTCCCCTCCCCCTTGGCAACCTGCAGTGATTGTATTTTGTCTCCTTCCCTTGGGAAAAGCCATGGTGGTGGATTAGGGGCAGAGCGAGAAGGGCGTGGAAGGGGGAGGGAGGGATCCGCATCCTTCCTCCCCACCTCCAGTTTTATGCATGACTGCACCGTTGGGAAGTTGTCCCCATGGCTGGGTAGCGTGAGTGTGCAAAGCCTTTTCCTGCTTCCCTGGGACAAGGGCTCAGGAAAGGTCTCCCACACGGAAATGTTGGCTGGAGAAACCCTCCACAGCCCGGTGGGATGGGGAGGCTGAATTAAAACCCCACCTGGGAGTGGGTGAGGTGGAGCTGAGCTCTCTTTCCCTCTCCCTCGACAGGGCATCCCTCTGGAGCTCCTGTGTGGTCCTGCCCCTGCTGGCTCTCACCTGGATGTCCGCAGTCCTGGCCATCACCGACCGGCGCTCGGCGCTTTTCCAGATCCTTTTTGCAGTCTTCGACTCCTTGGAGGGATTTGTCATCGTCATGGTCCACTGCATCCTCAGGCGGGAGGTGAGAGGGAGGAGTCATTATCTGTTATATAATTAACATTATTTCCCGTAAAAATCACCTGGAAAATTGCCCAGCCAGTCTGGTAACTTCTCTAACCCTACACATTTTTTCCACTGGGGAGATGTTGACCACAAAAATGACCATTTTTGATCAGAGGGAAGGGTGAATCAGGGTAGAGTTTGGTGGGAAGCCTGAGATGGGATAACATGTCAGGCTTTGCTTGTTTACCACCAAAATTCCCATTTCCAGACTGCTCACAACCCCACCTCCAATAATGCCACCTTAAGGAAGTAATTTGTGTGATTTCAAGAGAGGCGAGATGCACTGAGATTTGCAGGATGAAATCTGTGCTGGCATTAACACCTTGATATTCCAGCTAGGAAGTGCAGCCAGCAATAATCAGGCAAGGAAATTGAGGAAATTCTCTTCAGCCTCCCTGTGGAGATTTAAAATGGTGAATCATATCAGAGAAGAAAAGGACGAATCTTTTATGTTTCTTTTATTCTTTTCATCCTACAGAGTGGAGAGACTATTAATAACAGAGACAGGAAGGAACTTTTTTTTCAATCCTCATTTTATCTTCTTACAGTTCCTTTAAATTAAGTAAAACAGATTAATTTCTTATGAAAATTAATGAAATTATGGCCAATGAAATCAATAGAATTACACCACTGGCTTGGCTGAGACTCCTTCCAGTAATTGCATTATGAATATGAGTCTGCATTTAACTCACATTGCAGTCACCCGGATTTTTGGTTTTTTCCAGTTATTTCAGTGAGTTTGGATCAGATTTATATTACAGCATCATAATCAGACTTTGTAGACACCAATACAATGATTAATGCGGGAGCATCCATTGTAAACATATTGCAAGCTGCAAAATAAAGGACATTTTTATTCCTGACTGTATAAATCAAGGAAATAGAAACGACCTGGGCAGTGACCCAGGATTTCTGGAAAACCTCTGAGTTACTCTTCAGTGTGTGAAATATGTAACACATAAACCATGTGAAAGAAATGCCTGGATGCTGCTAAAGCAGGGCCCGTGTCCTTTTGATCTAACAGCAGCTGTTTTTATTTTGGATTTCAGCAGGATTTGATGTGGTTTGGTCAGTCTGGCTCTGATCTTTGCTGATCTGTCCCTGCAGGTCCAGGATGCCGTGAAGTGCCGGGTTGTGGATCGTCAGGAGGAAGGGAATGGAGACTCAGGGGGGTCATTTCAGAACGGACACGCTCAGCTAATGGTAGGGAAATCTCCCACTTCCCCTTTAGTAGGGGGTTTATAGGAATTTTTAACTAATAACTGGCAAGCAGAAGGCTCTGTCCATCACAGATCCTGAATTCACCGTTCTTAATTCCTTTAAACTTCCACTTGAACAAGCACAGCACTTAAAATGGACGTTTTCACACAAATCCAGGGTGTTGTGTTGTAATTTTAAGGTTCTCAAACTCGCACACCAGGTTTTGCAGAGGTCTTGATGAGATTCTTTCTTTCCCAGAAAAATAAAGAACCACAATACACCTCCCATGTCTTCCAGACCTTTTCATCCCCATCAAGCTGCCTTGTCCTGGCTGGAGCTAGGAAGTAGTAGTTTAATACTGTTTTAATCACAGTCTGATGGGTTATTATCATAAAAATGCTGTCTCAGAGGGCTTTTTTTTTTTCTTTCAGAAGGACACTTCACTTCACTGGAAATAGTTTAAGCTCTGCAAATTGTGGTCCTGTTGTTTAAGTCCTTTGCAAACAGTAAAGGAATAAGCTGTGGGGCTTTGCCCTGCATCTGCTCCACTGTTATGAGGTAGCTGATGCAAGAAACGTTTCGTTTCAGAGGTTAAGATAAAGATATCAGGAGAATCAGAGGATTTGAGCAACTTCCAAAAGCTCCTGGTTAATATTAGAACTACAGCACAACCCAGTGATGTTTTTTTTTCCCGTCACTCCTGTGCTGAGCAATTTCTGCCTGGGTACGAGGCCTCATTTCAAACAGCACAATCTTGGAGTCAGGACATCAGCAGAGGTTTAATTCCACCACACCTCGGTGGTGTTTGCTAAAAACAGGTGCCTCATTGCTCATGTAAATGCAGAGTCTTCTCATTTTCAGAGAGGTTCTCACTCTGCCTAATTTGGGTGATTATTGCATGCCTGGTGCTTTGGCTTCTTCAATAATAGACACCGTAATCACACCCAGTCTCAATCCTCTTTTCCATAAGTTAACACCCAGAGCTTTTTTATTCTCCCCCTGTAAATCACATCCCTTCAAATTATTTATGTAACCCCCTCCAGGTTCTCAGCATCCTGGAAAGAAAGTGGATCCTGTTTTTGTCAGTCTGTCGTCGCCGCCACAAGTTTCAGGGTTTTGCTTCTCCGTACAACTCCACATTTCCATTCATTATCATCCACCTTGCAAAATTCCGAGTCAGCTACGAGATTTTTAGCAATGTTGCATTTCCTTCTGCGCTGCTGATGGGTGTGTGGGGGAGCAGGGAGCTTACAATCACTTTCCTCACATTCCAGCACAAAAAGCTGCGGAATCTGGCTGTGAGTGATGACTCCTCACTGGTATTTTTAGCGGGGTGCAATGTTATTTTGTTGTAAAATCACCAGAGAAATCAAAAGCTTTTGCAGGATGGCATTTTTGCTGTTACATTCTCCATTTATCTCCAAATCTGCCCAGCTAGTGAAAGGGAGCTTAGCTGAGTAGGTTTTCCCCACAAAATCTTGTTGACTGGTATTAAATATAAATATATTTCATATTTCTGTCTTTCATTTGTTTATCAGCAGAACCTAGTGCAGGGTGTTCAGCTGCATTTTTCTGGAACTCCTATCATGAAAATGAGATTATATTTCTGTGTGTCATCCCATTTTCCCATTTGAATGTTAGTTCAGTCGTATTTCTCTTCTGTTCTTTTCAGATTTGTTTGATATCCCAAAGAATTTACTGGGAAATTAACATCAGGATGGCTGAGATAGTTCGAAAACACTTGGCTCTCAACCTGCTAATATTAAAGTGTTTATCCCAGGGGGATGGGGATTTTTCCCACATTCTTCTCAGTATTAAAATGGATTTAATTTCATCACATTAATACAGTTATGTTAAATGTCTTTCTGAAACGATACCAGAAATAATCAGCGAACTCTTCTACCTTTTGCCAGTGTGCAGCTTCCCCATTACTCCATGAAAGCTCACGGCCTGCTGTGACTCAGTTTATCCAGTTCTTTGAAATGTTATCTGCTCAAAGCTTCAGAAAAAGGATTAACTCCTCCTGGGAGAAGAAAGGAGTTCCCTTTGGCTGCACAGACCACTTGAAAAAGTTATTCAGCCTTTGTGCCTGTGGGAGCTATTGATTTTATATGTTAAGAGTTTCAGAAGCAGAGACTTGTTCCCACTTCATGTGACTTGGTGACAGATCACAAGAAGGCCCAGTGGGGGTGGAGCATTCCCAGCAGGGTCCCCAAACCTCTTTAATAAAAGGTGGGGAATCCATTTAGACTTATATCCCAAACAGTTTGGGCCAGGAACCTGTTCCCTGTTTTTTTAGGAGTGTGCATAAATGTATTCCAGCAAAATATTTTAATCTGCAGCCCAGGAATAAGTGAATGGATGAGCAGGTGAAGCCCAGTTGAAAAGCAATGTTCCAGCTTTATCAGTGATAAAATTCAAAAGCCAACAGGCATAAAAACGTGGCATGTTTTCCATGTTTGAAAATCCAAACAAAACCTCTCTCCTGGCAAAGGCTGTGCCCACCTCACTAATTAAAGCGGGGGTGTTGCATTTTCCAAGTTTTCCTGTCCTTCACCACCCACTTTTGAGCACATCCTCTGTGTTCTCTGTCTTTCAGACCGATTTCGAGAAGGACGTGGACATGGCTTGTAGATCAGGTGAGCACATCACAGGTGAGAATCAGCAAGTGACCTGGTTTGGGGATTGAACTAGGCCATTTTTTTTTTCACCCCCCTTTCTGTTTCCTTCGTTTGTGTCTCGGTGCCTTGCATGTCCTCACGTGGGTTGCCTTTCCTTTCCTTTCCTTTCAACCCTGGCCAAAAGAAAGCAACACCCTGAACTCTCCCTTTGCTTTTCCTATTTTCCCGTAGCTCTTTTGGCATTTTAACTGAGATCAAACCTTGCCTCTGAGGAGTTGTTTTTGGCCACGAAACAGGGTGGCAGAGAAGAGCATTGAGGAAGAAGAGATGGGATCCATCTCTTCCTACTGCGATCCTTCTTTGTTCCAGCAACAAGGGGAACGCCAGCCTCAGGCAGCTCTATGCTCATGAAAGGTGTCTTTATAAAAAGTCTGGAATCTGGAGAGCCTTCCCACCACCCCACCTGGCTCCAGGCTCCTCTATGCACCTGGAAGTGGTTGGATCTCTCCTCCTGTGCCTGCTCCTTTCTGCTGTGTGTTCATCACACAGGCTCCTTTGGATCCAGAGGATGTGCATGAGTTGACAGCCCCTTTTCCCAGTAATTCCAGGGGTGTCTGTGCTGCCTGGATTCTCCCTGGCTGTGCTCCTCTCTGCAGGTCTTGTCCTCTCCTCATCCTGGCATGCCTGACTTGGCTGAGGTTATTTTTCTTACCTTTTATAGATACTGAGGCTTTCATTTTCCCAGACTTCTCCCTTCTGCCAAGCAAGAGAAATACCAGCTTGCTTGGAAATTACATAATTCATATCTCCCAAACCAGGATCTCCCCAAGCCAAGGACAGCACATTCTGTGTTCAGTTACCACTATGGCAAAGCTTCTTTGTCTTTTTATTCATCTTTCTTTCTTGCCTTCCTCCTTTCCTTTTGTCTTGTCTTCTTTCCTTCTTTCTCTTGTTTTTTCCCTGCCCTGCTTTTTTTTTCATTCTCCCCTCCTCTCTCTCTCTTTCTATAAACATCTACCTGTCCTTTTCATTTATCTCTTTCTTTATCTCATCTATCATTTATTTACCTGCTTCTAATGTATTTATCTATAATTCATCTCTTTCGTTCTGTCTCGCAATCACTTATTTATCTCTGTCCTCAGCTGTCTGTCTTGCTGTACCTGTTATTTATGTATTTCTATCTGTCAACATTTGTCCCTGTCACTGTGTTTCTGTGTATTGTCTGTCACTGTCACTATCATTTATCTGTCTAATATCTATCTATATCTTATTTATCTTTTCCTGTCCTTCTCTCTGCCTCACTCCCTCTCCCTGTGCTTATCACAGTCACAGTATATTTATCTCACTTACCCCCGTGATATCTTATTTCATGGTCTCTTTCTGTCCATTTATCTCTTTTCAGGGTCTGTCCATTTTTTTTTTCTTTCTGCTTTTCTGTCTCACACTCTCTAATCTAATTTCTAGCTGTCAGCCTCTTCTCATTTGTCTTCCTCCTTCTCTTCTGACACCAAATATCTCAGTCCCAAAAAATCGTGTGTGAAAATTGTGTGTGTGGGGCCCTGTCTGAGTTGAGGGGATGCTCAGAGAACATTCACCAGGCACAATCAGCTGTAAACCACTGCAGATCTCAGATTCCTCCTCTAGAGGAGCCTTTCTGGATCTGCCACCCCACCTCTTAATCCCAAATAGAGTTTCCCAGAAAAAAGGGAGAGAGCTGATTTGTTTCACGTGATTTCAGGACGGGAGCCCCTGGATCAGCAGCTTGCCAACAGCCTAAGCTTCCCCTCCTTTGCCAGCATCCAGCTCTACAATTTGTATTTGTTTGCCTGGAGATTCTCCTCCCCTCACAAAGTGCTATTAGGCTGTGCCAAGATAAGTGGTTAATAATAAACCTCATTTCAGAGACCTTTTGGAGTGGTGCATCATCCCACGCACTCTGCTTACTGAATAATAAAAAACAGGAACCTGTCCAATGGTTTCTGGCCATCATTTCTCCTGGAGGCACCATCTCCCCTCCTGTGGTGGACTGGAGATGTGGCTGAGACCACTCAGAACCCCCCCAACATTGATCCCCGGGTAGGATTTGCTCCAGGACTCGGTGCTGAAGGCTCACTCCTCTCCATGCTTGGAGATTGCTAAGTGAAAACCTCTCCAGACCTATTTTCTGCAGCTGACGTGGGCATGGAGAAGAGCCTGGATCAATAAACCTTGCTGGGACTCCCAGCAGAGGGGTTTGACTTGCTCTGATTTATCCCAGTGATGCCAAGACGATTGTGGCTGACAGAGTTTTTTAGCTTTAAAATCTTTTTGCAAGCTCTTTTTATTCTCCTTGGTGCCCTGCTCATCCTGCTCATCTGTAGTCTTGGGGGGGTGAGCTTTGATCTTCCCTCACTCCCACTCGGAGCTGGTAGGAAAATCAGTGTGTCCTCAGAGCCATGGGATGCCCACATCCCACCTCTGTCCCACATGGAGCAGCTGAATAATGTCAGCTCATCCCAAAAATCCTTCTCCATGGTCCTAAAAAAAGATCCATTTACCTATTTTTATTTCCTCCTTTCTTTCTCTTTTCCTGTGCTGAAATCCTGGGTAAGTAGCCCACAACACTGTCCCTGCCCCACAGTCTGATTCCCACAATTTTCTGATTTCCCACACAATGGATACATCAAGGTTGATGTCATTATTTTCCCAGGATCTTTGTTGCAGCCTGAAATTAACTGATCAATAGATTGTTATGTCTGGAAAAGGGGAAAATACCTGGAAAAGGGGAAAATGTGTTGTTTGTTTTTTTTTGTGGACAGTGTTGTGTGGGAATTGGTGTCCAAATGTCCTTTATGACGAGTTTACTTCCTCCTCAGTTTAAAGATTTCCTCTGTTTTTAAGGAATATTCCCATCACCACTTGCTTTCCTGAAGGGAAATTGAAAATTGCTAAATAATGAGCTCTCACAAAAGCCTTACCATGATTACTGGAATGTAAGATTTTTTTTGAGAGCATTTTGAAATTCCTAACAAAATACAGTGTGTTTCAAAATATCAATTTATTGACACTGGAAATTAAGGGAAAAGAGCAACCTGAAGTATTTTAGTGAGTTAATACAAAAAATTAAATTTTAAGGGAGCTGGAACTCAATGATCTTTTAAGTTGTCTTCCAGCCCAGGCCATTTGATGATTTTATGGGTGCATGAATCATTGATAATGTTGTATTTCAGCTATTTCCTGAACCAAAATAATTTTTTTACACAAAAGCAACTTTTTATTTCAAAGAATTCTACTCCACAGGCTAATACTGTATAGATTTCATAAATACATGCATATACAAGATGTACTAAATATCTAAAAATCTCTTTGGTTTTCAATGTGTTGTTATCAATATGTTGGCCTAGATGGGAGTTTTGGCCATGGTTGTGTTGGAGAACTCACATCCCAGAGAGCTGTCCCAAAATAACAAAAGTTTTTTTTTTCCTCCCTACCTCTAATTTTTCCTTCAGTACCCTGGATTTTGAAAATACAAATAATTTTAAACACAGTTGTGCCTCTCTGGGAGAGGTGCTGGTGGGGAGTGACTGTGGGAGGTGTCTGGATGTGTCAGCAGAACCCCAGGTGAGGTGCTGAGGACGCTTGTCTGTCTCCCCAGTGCTGAACAAAGACATCACCGCGTGCAGAACCTCGACCATCACAGGGACCCTGAAGCGCCCGTCGCTGCCCGACGAAGAGAAACTGAAGCTCAGCCACCAGAAAGGCTCATCCAACTTCAACAGTCTTCCAGCCAACGTCTCCAAGATGCACCTTCAGGGCTCCCCACACTACCTGGGGGCCATCAACCTGAACGAGTTCAGCAACCACTCCCTCACCCTGAAGAAGGACAAGAACCAGCCACCGAAATCCATCTACATCTGCGACGGGGACATCTTCAAGAAGTTGGACTCGGAGCTCTCGCGGGCGCAAGAGCAGACCATGGACACCAGCTACGTGATCCTTCCCACCAACACGTCCACCCTGAGGGCCAAACCCAAAGATGAGAGCAAATACAGCATCAACATCGACCAGATGCCTCAGACACGGCTCATCCACCTCAGCATGGCCACCGACCCCGGCTTTGTGGTCAAGAGTCCGCCGCGGGAGCCGGTGACCATGGCGTGCAGCGAGGTGCAGGGTTCCTCCATGATCCAGCAGCAGCAGCAGCTGGCTCCACAGAACATCTCCAACGAGTCACAGATTCCCAACAGCCTGTGTGACACGGGTGACTCAGGGAACTCGGGTGTGGTATCCAAGAGCGAGACCGTCTCCACCCTCTCCATGAGCTCCTTGGAGGTGAGCGTGGGAGTTGCAGTGTCGTTCTCAGCCCAGGGCGGTGTTCTGCCCTCCCATCCGGCCACTCCAGGGAGTTGGGAAGAAGAACTTTAGGGAAAAGGCAGCCCAGGATGCAATGCCAGTGCCGTATTACCCTGAGAGGCGTGTGCTCATATTTTGGAATGTGATTTCACAACTTTCAGAGCACATTCCATTGCTGGATCAAATATTTTTAGCCCTATGGGTGCTGCAAAGTCAAAAAAAAAAAAAATTGTTAATTTGTCAAAGATTGTTCATTTTAATGCTAGGCACATGACCTGCCTTATTTTTTCCCCTTTCTATCCTCTGTCCTATTTCCCATTTTGATGGTTTCAGTCATGATACAGATGAGAAAACTCCAATTATCCAGGCTGGATAGGGCTTGGAGCAACCTGGGATAGTGGAAAGTGTCCGTGCCCATGGCAGGAGGTTGGAACTGGTAGATTTTAAGATTCCTTCCAGAATAAATGACTCAATAACTCTAAATATTTGGCACTTCCCATCATGAAGAGTCAGAAAAAAAAACATTAAAAGTGTAGGAAAAGGGAAAGGAGAAAGACTCTTCTTGTTTTATTTACTAACCTTTTCCCATTTGTTTCTCTCCCAAATACCCAGAGGCGGAAATCCCGGTACGCAGAGTTAGATTTCGAGGTGAGTACACCCCGTTCTGAATGTTGGTCCCAAATTTTTTGAGGCGTTATCTCACCCTTGCCAGAGCACAGGAAATCCATATTCAGCCTGCTCATACATGGAAAGGGAAGTCCCTCTAGAAATTGTCCTGCCTTTCCTTCTGAGCAGAAGATAGAATTAAAATGCAGACACAAATTATAAAGAAAATGAGATTGTGGAACAGTTTCTAATGAAATTACCTGAATTCTAATGAAATTACCTGAATTCTATGTGTTTGGGTGAGCTCTGAGCACATTTAGAGGTGACAAACAGGAAAGGCTGGGCGTGGAGACAGGTATCAGTTAAGGAAGGGCAGCAAACCTTCCTTAGGACATTAACAATCAAGCTCAAATTCTGCAGCATAAAAATTTGATTGTTGCAAGTTTAAGGGGTTTTTTCAGGTCAAAAATTAGTTTTTTCCACTTTCTCCCACCATCTCACCTTGAAAATAAAGGCAGTTCTGCAGTGGGTCCTGAGTATGTGCTGAAGGTATTTTAGGCGCCTGCAGGGAGACAGAGCTGGGATTTAATGGTGTAACTCTGGTGGGAGGACGTGTTCCTGAGGAACGGGGTTTGCTGACCTGTGTCCCTTTGTGTTTGCTGCAGAAAATCATGCACACAAGGAAACGTCACCAAGACATGTTCCAGGACCTGAACAGAAAACTCCAGCACGCAGAGAAGGAGAAGGAGTCTCCAACAACGGACAGCAAGGTTAGTCAGACACTTCCAGAAGCCCTCTGGTGCCAGCAGGAACACAGGAAACAGCAGGAAATTGGTTTTCTACCGTGCATGTTGCAAAAAAACACACGTGCAGAGCACAGCAGCCTGGGAGGAGGATGTCTGTCCCCACGTCTGTCCATGGTGTCGCTTTCCCTGTGTCCTTGGCATTCCCTTCCATGTCATCCCTTTGTGCCCTATTCATCCACTCCTAGGCAGGAACTGGAAATTGACCATGAGGAAATCTGGGGGAAAAGTGGAGAGGGCAGAAAGAGGGGAAGCATCTTCCCTCCTTTGTGGGGCTGAGGCAGAGGCCAGGGTAGCAGTGAAGGATATTTAGGATGGCCACAGCAGTGGGATTTAAGGTGTGATGTGGGGAGCCCATTTTGGTGACTGGAGCTTATTAAATGTAGTTAATTTGTGACGGCTGATCGCCTGTGGTAGGAACATGCATAAATGATTGAGTCCAGACAAGGCCATGAAGGTTCTCCAAGGGCTGGAGCATCTCTCCTATGAGGAAAGGCTGAGAAAATTTGGATTGTTCAGCCTGGAGAAGAGAAGGCTCCTAGATGAGCTTATTGTGGCCTTTCAGTCCCTACAGGAGCTGGAGAGGGACTTTGGCAACGTCATTTAGTGACAAGATTGTGACAACCAACAAGGGCAGGGGCTTTAACCTGAAAGAGAGTAGGGTTAGCTTGGCTATTAGAAAGAAATAATTCCTTCTGGGGGTGCTGAGGCCCTGGCACAGGTTTCCCAGAGAAGCTGTGGCTGCCCCTGGATCCCTGGAAATGTCCAAGGCCAGGTTGGATGGGGCTTGGAGCAACCTGGGATGGTGGAAGGTGTCCCTGCCCATGGCAGGGGGTTGGAATGGGATGATTTTTATCGTCTTTTCTAACCCAAACCTGTGATCCTGTGATATCCATGTTTTTACTTGTCAGGAGCAAAGTTCCAGGGAAAAGGGGATTCCTTTAAAGGACACAGAGTTAGGGAAGGACCTCTCAGCCTTTCATAGGGGCAGAGAGCTGAGACTGGAAAAAATTATCAGGAGCCTCTGTAATAATTGGTGTTGTAGATAATAAAATAAGGAAGAGCAGGCAGATGACACCTTCCACGTGTCTCAGCCAGCTGGGGAAGGACTGAAAGGCTGCAAGGAATTCTTACAACTCCAGCTGAAGAGAAAAACAAGCAGCAGAGCCAGGTTGACAGTGAGAAATTAAATTCCTTGCACTCAGGAGAGAGGCAAGGTGAGCTGATTATCACAAATCTTGGTGATTTGTAATCAAAGCTCCTCATGACAAGAAAGGCATTGAGGGGCTGGGGAGAGAGGGGCAACAAAGATGGGGAGGGGTCTTGAGCACGAGTCTGAGGAGGAGCACTTGAGGGAGCTGGGGGGACTCAGCCTGGAGAAAAGGAGGTTCAGGGGGGACCTTCTGCTCTCTTGAACTCCCTGACAGGAGGTTGGGGACAGGTGGGGGTCAGTCTTCTCTCCCAGGTAAAAAGTGACAGAACAAAATGAACCAGCTCCAGTTGCACCAGGGGAGGTTCAGGTTGGATATTTGGAAAAATTTCTCCAGTGAAAGGGAGGCCAAGCATTGGAGGAGGCTGCCCCAGAGAAGTGTTGGAATCACCGTTCCTGGAAGTGTTCAAAAACCAGGTAGCTGTGGCACCTGGGGACACGGTTTAGTGGTGGCCTTGGCAGTGCCGGGTTAACACTTGGGTCAGTGATCTTGGAGGCCTTTTCCAACCTCAATTCCATGATCCTAAGAGAGATCCAGGATGTAGCACCCCCTGCAATGTGGCAGATTGGTGGGGCTTATTTGGATGGGGCTCCCTTGGAGGGAAGAGCAGAGCTCAGAGGGCGATGGAGCAAGAGGTTTGGGGTTTTTTTGGAGGGAAGCAGAGCCCTACAGAGGCTTTGCTCTGTGTTCTGACCTCACAGCATTGCTGTACTGAGCTCCAGAGATGCCACCCCAGAAAATCCTGCTTTTATTGCGTGTGGCAAGGTGTCATTATGGGCTGTCCAGTGTAACAGAGTGAGAGGCACTGGATCTCCAGGTTCAGATCAAAGAATCCTGCCTGGCTCAGAATCCCAGCGTGTCTCAGTGTCACCTCTCTGGGTTTTGGGGTTTTTTTGCACTTATTTCAGTATGACACAGCTGTTAACCCCAAAAAATGTTTAAATCCGGTGTAAAAGCTGATCTGTGGTCTGTTTGCAGGAGGGGTTTATAGATTGGGAAGGTTTTAGCATTTCAGAGATGCATCTATGTAGAATTAAAGTTGCCGCTGTCAGCATCAAAGAGCTTTGAGCTGCTGAAGGAGGTTCTGAAGGTGGCTCTTGCATATTGACTGAATCTTTTTCAAGCTGGGAATTTTCCCTTGGATGTAACAGGAGAGGGGGAGTCCAGAGCAGGACTGGCAAGTCAGGAGTGGGTATTGGTTTAAAAAACATCCAAAGCAATGCAAAGTTAAATAAATAGGTTTTTTTCCAGCCCTTTTTCTACCATTTGTTGCTGAGGACTCCACTGGAGCTCAGGCCCCATCTTCAGCTCACCCTGAGAAGACAAGGAGCAGATAACAGGGATTAAGGGAACAACAAAAGAATGCTTTCTCTTTTATGTAGATTTAGGTTATAAAATGATGGAGTGTTTCTTCTGGTGGCAGTGATAAAACAAACCTTAGTGTAAGTCTGGCTTTCATTTGCATTGCAGAGCATCCTGGGCCTATCCCAACCCCTTCCATGACATGAATCCTAACATTCTTTAACCAGCAGAAAGCTCTGTGCCTCGTGGTCATGAACAAGGTCATCAGGACCCTGGAGTACCCCTGAACCCTTCCTCATCCCAGAGCAGAAAGGAAATTTCCTGTGTCTGCTCCGTTTGCCTGCATTGCTGTTCCCTCCAATTTCCCTTTTAAATAAACAACCACAAAGTCAAGCTCCCAAGTCTCTCTCCCCAGGCCTGGCATTTTCCCAACCTCTGCTGGCAGCGTGTGCCATCGTCCTCAGTCCTTTCCAGGATAGGATGCTTATCCTGACCTTGCTGTTCCTCTCTCCTCCCTCAGCTCCAAAGTCAGAAAAATGCTGATGAAACTGGAATTAAATGTCTGCACAGGACAGGCATCCTGTGGGGATTCCTAGGAATGGTGCTGGCCATTTTTAGGGATCAATTTTTCAGGGATTTTAATGTAAATGCCATCCCCAGGGTACTCCAGTGCACTTACTGTATTGCACTAAACACAAAGCTCCTTTCCCATGAACTCCTAAATTGTCAGATTTTAAGGAAACACCAAGAGAAAAATGGGATGGAGGAACAAACTTTCAGTCTCTTTAGGAAAAAGGGTGGAAAATTCAACCATAATATTTATTTATTGTTAAGAATTTCTCCAGCTTCAAGGGTAGAATATTATTTTTAGAACCTCTTTTTGAGGGGTTTTCAGCCAAGACACAAAGGTTTATACAAGCACAGGTGTTCCTCCTTTTTAAGTATCCTGACAGATGGAAACTTGATGGATAAATGTTAGTTCTATGTACACTTGATAAAGAAAAATGTCCTTTGCTGTCCCAGAGAAGTTACTGGCAGATCTGGAAACATAGTCAGGAACTCACAGAATCATTAAGGTTGAAAAAGACCTCTAAAATCATCAAGTCCAACCACTAAACTGTGTCCCAAACTAAAAATTCCTCCCAGGATGTGACTCCACCACTTCCCTGGTTCCAATATTCAAACCAAATTTTTTCCTAATGTCCAACCTAAACCTCCCTGGCACAACTTGAGGACATTTCCTCCTGTCCAGTCCCTTGGGAAGAGAGACTGACCCCCATCTGGATCCAACCTCCTTCCAGGGAGCTGTAGGGAATTTTAAGTGGCAGCAGGTTTGGGGATGAATTCTGCTTTTCCATCAGCCTGTGGCTGGGGACTCCTAATCCACATCCTGCTGGGATTGGGGTGTCCCCACTGCCATCAGCTTCCTAACGAGTAGGGATGGTGTGTCAGAGAATTATGGGAAGCAGGATAGTTCCTGGAATGCCACTCAGGTCTGAATCTTGCTCGTATTCCAGGCATTCCCAGGAATGTGGCACTGGCCACAGTTATTGTTTCACTGCAGTTACTTTGCTGGAAACCAAAGCACATCCCTAATGGTGAACTAAGCTGAGCCTCAGAGTACAATATTAAAGAATTGCCCCTCTTTGGGGAATAAATACAGATTTTTCCCTATTTTCTTCTCTAGTTTATTACATAAAGTTTATTCCATGGGACACGTAGTTTCTTCTGTCTGTACCTCAACTCTGAAATGCTCCCACTGGAGGCACACTCTATTATTCCTGACTGAAATCACATTTTCCAGCAGGATCCATGTTCAAGCCCTGGCCACCTCATCCCTGCAGCAGAAAAACGTGGTCACACTCAAAATGGCTTTAAGCTGAAGGAGGGACATTGAGCTGGGATATTGGGACAAAGTTCAGCCCTGTGAGGTTTTGGCACAGGCAGCCCAGAGCAGCTTTGGATGTCTCATCCCTGGAAGTGTCTGAGGTCAGGCTGGGCAGGGCTTGGAGCAACCTGGGACAGTGGAAGCTGTCCCTGCCCATGGCAGGGGCTGGAACAAGAGGATTTTTTTAAGATCCCTTCCAAACCCAAACCGTTCTGGGATTCTCTGGTTTGTGGCTGTCGGGACTGATCAGAGATGCAGACATGCTTTCCCAAAGTTAATTTTTCCATACCAGGGAATTAAGATAGGAGCAGGGTGACATCCAGCAAGATCTGATGGTTGCCAAGCTGAAAAGTCAAGCTTCTAATGCACTGATGGATCTCTGTATGACCTTGTCATGGTCCTGGCAGGTCCCTTCCCCCTCTGGATATTCTGTGGTAAATTTTTTCTCCCTCGCAGTCTTCAACATGAGGCGAGGCAAGGGAGGTGGAGGTGATTTTTTTCCTAACTCAGAAGGAAGTTTTGGGGCTGTAGGCAGGATTTTTTCTTGCTGGAATTTGGCACAGATT